AGTTTACCAAAATCCTTATGTTGCTGGTATTTAAGACAGTGCTACTATTTAGTTATACATTTTCCAGAACTTCAGAAAGGCTTTTCTTTACAGAATTCAAAACCATATACTCCACAGAAGACACCTGAGGTTAGGTTACGGTAGATTTATTTTTTTCCTCCAATATGCAAAGATTTACTTAAAATAGGAGCTGCTGCAAGAAACAAGGTATGCAATCAGATATCAAATCAGATTCAGAGGAATCCTTTTTTTTTTTTTTTTAAAGAATAAACTGCAAAACTGAACAAATGAAAACCGTAAACCTAAGGTGCCTTAATCACAAAGGCATTTCCATTGATTTTTTTGGTGAATAAAGAGCTATAAATTAGATCGTAGTTGAGTAGAAAAAAAATTAAAAACCATATCTACATTAATAGTTGAAATTCGAACAGACAAGAGAAAAAGAATTAAAAAGAGCCAAACATTCTGAGTATGAAAAAGCGCTATTATGAGTACCTCTAATATCCTGAGCCTGTGGGAAATAGGGGCAGGATGGCATCTTCTTTGGAGCAAAGATCATATTTATTTTAGGTTTGTGGAATATCTGGTACTTAGAAAAGCAAAGTTATAAGCTAAGCTTCCTAATAACCTAGAACAATGAGTTTTTTTAATACCTTCAAATTCCTTGTCCGTGAAAAAATTACAACATTTTTTATTATTTACATGTTATCAAGCTATGATCAAAACGGTTTATCCCAGAGCTGCAAATAAAGTCCTTGTGTTTTTTTTTTTTTTGAATTGATAATAGCCTCTTTGACGAACATAAGCTGGTATAAAAACATATCTATTTATTGCAAATAGACATCTATATGAAGGAAAATATAAAATAGGTTTTCACAAAGGTTATTTTCCTTTTATGATAAAGAAGAAATATATAGAGAGCAGGTACAATGAAAATAATTAATTTGCAGAAGTTTTAAATCACCATCTTAAAGAGGTCATTAAATATTATTTTAACACACAGTGGGAATTGGATTGTTCTGCTAACTTTGATTGGTTTTTGCAGAATAATCTTAGTTAACAGAGTTGAAGGAACAAGTTTAAAGAAACTAACTTCATCCAGTTATAAAGCTTTGATTATCATGGAGCCTTAAAATTTAAGCTTCATTGAATACAATACGATTATCTTTTTTCTATCAAAGAACAAATTAAAATAATCTGCTTATAATCCTTTTTGCCATTTCAACCGCACATAAGATTTCTTGTAGTGGCAGTCAATTTTGTTTAGAACAAGACGTTTCTGCCCACATTACAAAGTGTTTGCAATGTGCCAAAATTTGTCACCATACTAGTGTAAACAAAAACCGACTACCATCCATAACAGCAGAATGGATTTATTATTTAGTCATTGTTCCTAGTGCATCTATGTTTCAGTGCATGGGCTACAAGGAGTCAATAGATGGCAGTCCATCTCTTAGGAAAGAGCTAGATAATGAATAAAATCACCAAAAGCTTCACAAAGAGAAAGTATGAGACCTTGTTGTTTTTAATAATCATTCACAGTAATTAACTAAGAATACTTTAAATAATGCATAAGCATTTAGATAGACTTTGTATTGGCTTTTTTTAAATAATATAAGTGCTCTTTTATTACAAACCTGAATACATTGTTTTATTTCCGCCTATAGGTACCCGTATGGGTGGTAATCATGATCAGTTGATCAAAATCAAAATCGATTTAAATCTAGTGGTTGAATCTATGGCTAAAGCATAGGAAAAATTCATTTTAGTCTCAGCCTGTATGCTATAGTCAGGTTACTCTATACACCAAAGTAACAGCCATAATAGTACTGTTTTAGCTCTACGATTTTTCCTTAAACAGTTGCCCCCTTTATACAGAAATTTTTGTTCTAAACTACGGAAATTTTAAAATAATTTCTGTATTGAAATACCACTATGCTGATATGACAGTAAAACTACTTTCTAGTTACAATTCTATAAAAAATATAAAATATGTATTACTGTATAGAGAAATTTAGATTTCTTCAAGGAACACTATCTACCTCTTTTCTGCTTTAGCTACCAAAGAGAATACTTAAATGGAAAAATAAAAGTTGGGGCTCAAACATGTAAGCAACTCAGATAATATAGTTTCTAGTGGTATCACATTTTAAATATCAAGTACGTCTTTTGCCACTCAAATTTTGTCTTAATCTGACTGTAACCTGAATTGAGTCAAAACTAGTTTTCCCAAGCGAAAAACGGGTAAGTGCAAAGTATTTCCCACATATCAGAAATCTGGATTATTTGCAGATAATCTGCAGCTTGCTGCAAGTAAAAACTCCTTCATCAGTAAACGAGAAACTAAATTTATCTTGGTGTGTCTATATTTAATCACGTTTCAAAACAGTCTCTGAAATGCACTAAAAACCTCCAAATTGATACTTTTATTAATAAACTTATATTCATAACTATTCAATCTTTTAAGCAGAGCTTGTTGCGACAAATGCTGTTAGCTTCACACTACGTAAAGTGTAAACTCAGAATACTTTCTACAGAATTCACTGCTAAAATTTTCTATCGCATACTAACTCCTTGGAAGGATCAGGTTTCAGCTCCTTTGCACTTAAAAAAAAATAATTATTTTGAAGTATTGATTGTAACTCACTTTTTGAGGCATTTTCAATGGTAAGCAAGACTAAAATTAAATCTTGCTGTCCAGCAAAAAAAAAAGAATCCATCATATTGCTGTATCTAATATGCCTATCTAATTATTTGATTCCAAAAATCATAAACATTTCAGAAATCATTTCTACATACACTCTTGGGGATTATAATGAAAGAAAAGATTTAGCTTTTTCCTTCATGCATTTTTAAAAAAACCAACAGAAAGAATGAGTGAATGCTCCTACTGCTCATATACCAAACCTGTTTAAGAAAAAAGTAACTGCTCAGAGAGAGCAGAGGATTTCCAAAGCAGATCTTTGTTTCAAAATCATTACATAAGAAAAAGAGTTTTTACCGTAGAGTTTCCATAAAAATTAAATTTAGAAGCAAAAACAGAAAAAAGAGCATTCGACTGGGACGAAGTAGTAGAGGTGACAGATTATAAAGTATATCTAACATTTATTGCTTAATAGGAGAAATCCACACTAAGGAATAGGCATGGAAAGTTGTCGAAAAACTTTACTACTTTGCCTTGAACACATAACATCAACTATTAATATTTAACAGTTAAGCACATATAAGCCTGATTGAATAGTTCTGGTAGCAAAGATTCAGCTGAAGAACAAAACCCCTCATCTTCAAGAACATTTTTATGTATAATAGTCTTAAAAAGAAATACATTCAAGCTTTGTCATACAAATCCATGGTTGTCTTGAACCAGTTAAATATTGTGCCAAGTTTCAATATCAGGCTTTTGTTTTATTTTTATTTTACATATGAGGAAAAAGCTTTAATATTACACTGGTACAGTTCAGTAAATTTAATTTTGTTGTTTAAATGATTAAAGATCAACTAATAGGGGCCAAAGAAGTTGTTAAACTATCTTCTTCCCCATTAGAAATTATCTACAAAAGTTTATAACGTGTATTTCTAGAATTAACATCTCTACTCTGACTAAGATTTCTTTTGTTCTTTTAAGAAGAAAGCTTTGTCATATATAGTGATTAGTTAACAAAATCTGGGATATGTGAGATGGGACTATTGCTTTAGCTATGTATCTCAAGTTAAAATTTAACCTTCTTAACATGTGTACAGTAAATGTCACTGAGAGGACAGCGTGCTGCAAGGCACTCATTTAATCGTTACAGTATTAAAACTAAATCAGAAGTTCTAAAGATATTTTAAAAATAGTGACAGTGTTTCATGGCATTTTTCAGTTCAAAAACTCTTCAGATGTTTATTATCTTCTTGCAGAAGATACTTGTCTATATTTTATGGTCAGCAGTTCACAGAAGAGTAAATAGGCTGGGTGTAGAAGAAAATAAAAAAGGTGTTTCTACTTACTGTTAGGTGATACTGCCTCCATATTTCTGGGCAAGCCTGGAAAATAAAAATATTGATCAGCTAGGAGCATGAAACAAGGTGCTTTACAGCCTGTTGGTTTTGGCATAACACAGTATCCACCGGTGTCGGTCACAGGAAAATAAGAAGCTTAACTGAAAGGGTCTGCATTTCAGCTTCAAAAACCTGGCTAGACAGTTTAATTGAATTTTACACTGGTTTAACACACTCCCTGCCATTGTCAGAAAGCCAGTAACAGTTTTCTCTCTCCCTTTCTTCTTTAAAGGTTAGAAGTTGGGGAGAGTAACATGCCCTTAACTGTAATAAGTATTAATACTGTAAAGCAAACACAAACAAATTGACATACTACATTTTCTAACATTTTAAAATTACATAATGTTTTGGAAATTAAATCACAGGGTACTTTCCTCTCATGTAGGAATAGGAATATTTTAGTATTTTTGTACATATCTCTATCCTAATCAAAATATAATTGTTACATGTAATAATCCTTAGCAGCCTCATGTCAGAGGAGTTGTAAACAAGAAGCATAACAGATTGCTATAATGTTTCTATTTTTACAATGGTTTCCTTGATTCCTTTTTTTTTTTTTTTTACCTTGCCAAACACGCACAAAAACTTGCAAGTGCAATTCGTTGTAAAAAATTTTACTGAGCAGATTTTCAATCACAACTATTTCACAGTATACCTGAAGAATACATAAGAGACAGGAAAGATGAAAATGTGAAACATCTTTAACGAAATAAGAGTGTGTCAATGATCCATGAGATAGGGGATATTTTCTCAATGGTCCTTAATACTTTTACAAAATTTATGATATTTCTGTCTGCTGCTACCCTTCTTCCCTAAACCCTAAAGAGCTAAAGCTATACTGGTACTTTGTCTCTTAGCCATTTTAGCATTTGAGAGAGTGTGTACACACTTATTTCAGTGGAGGTGTTCCAGTTTTGTTTAAAATATTTACACTGACAGGAAAAAAAACTTCTCAGTCATTTGGACAATTACAAATGTGGTTTGCCAATCTCTGTTTCTAGTATTTTAAGAATGTTAGAATGTTAGTTATTCTATGGCTTCTATGGTTTCTGTTTAATATGTTGTAGCTCTAATTTCAAATGCTGAAGTGTCATGACTACTTGCAAATTAGTATTATTAACATTTCTTAAGATTTTGAGTAATTTTTTCTCTCATGCCTAAATTTTTGCCTTCTTTTATACTGACAGAGCATGCTAATTAAAAAACAGCAACAACAACCAATATTACCAACAGAATCTCTCAAAAAATAATCTGAGTTTTTGACAAGTCACCCTACGGCATATACAGTATGTTTTCCCTGGATGTGATGGAAATTATATTATTTATTATTCATTCTGTCAGTAACACAATTTTCTGGAGAAAAATCTACAATCTGCTCTGTGTAATGGTTCTACATATCTCCTCTTGCTCAAATAATGCATGTAAATATTTAAGTTTTATATTAATATTTCTATAAGGAAACTGTAAAGTAAATCCCATTTCTAAGAGAGGAAAACACTACATTTGACAGTTTGAACACACTCAGGCTGTCTTGGAATGCAAACAAAAGGATTTTCTTCCTTTGCCAAAATGGATCCTAGTTTGGCACTCACACAGGATTCCCAAATGCAATATATAAACACTCTCCATTCAATAAAAAGAATTCTGTGAAAAACATTGCCTTCTTCCTCAAAGCCATAAAGGGCTTTGACTGTACATAACACTTCTGCTGGTTTAGCACAGGAGTAGCAGGCAGTTATTTATACATTAGTTCTGGATAGTTTTTGATTACCACAGTGTCCCCAGACTAATATGGTTGAAAAATCGCAATCAATGAGTTGTCATATGCTGGCAAAATGCCACTCTGCCATATGACCTTTACTTACACAGCAGCTATTTAATAAAGAAAAAAATCTTGATTTTTGATTAGTATTTTTTTGCTTTGGACACAAAAATGTATCGGTTATAGCAAAAATCTGTAACTCAGAACAGGAAATTATGACTGGAAGAGCTCTTAACAAAATACTTAAAGGGGAACAATCCCAACCATGTAGCAATACTATCAAAAGGTAGGCTTTATTATTATCATCTTTAAGCATGTTTTAAGGCTGTAGGAAAACTTAAGGGAGGCAGGAAGAGGAAGCTAAAGGAAAATTGGCCCAGCATATTTTTTCATTCAGATAGTCATTCAATGTAATACTTTTCATAATCACAATAATCACTTACAAAGCTTTGGAATCGGAATACAATAGTCTACAATGGGTGTCTGCTAAATAATGGCCTTTTAAAAATGATGCTTTTAACTTGGAGTTTCTATTACTTTGCATCAGCTCAGAACTATTGTCTATATCTCTTATCATGGAATAACAACAAAGTATAATTAACTACCAAATACTGGCTTCTCAAATGAAGAAAAGTGATTTGCTATGGAAGAAAGCATAACCAAATATAACTACAATTACCTCTGTGATTTTTCTTATTTATTTAAAAGTACTTAGCCATAAATTGCCCTCATGTAAAGAAAAGCTATTATGGTGTACAAGTACGATGGCAGTGTGATGAGCTACATTAAAATAAAATTGCATTTATTTCCTGCCCCGTAGTCTGACCTTACTAGCATTTAGATGTATGAACATAAAAGGTGCCTACTCTTAAAAGCAGTGCCACCACTTTACACCTGCACAAAACATTCACAAAGTACACTTTCCAATATCTTTAACTACATCTCCGTGCCTTCTCTAAGTTCTGTACAACTCTTTTTTCAAAATTAATGTTATTTCTATTGAAACTCATATTGGAGTACTTTGAAATGGTTATTATTCATACTATTCAAACACGAACCTGCTAAGTTTGCCACACCAGATGAATCAAGCCTGTATATTGTGCATTTCAACCCATATTGAATTTTATCAGGTGCTAATTATTGTTTTACGAGAACAACGGCTTAATGCATCTGTTGTTTAATTCCCACTTCCCTATTCTCAAATGTGAACATCAAAGAAAATAAAACACTCAATCTTAAACAGCCCCTGACAGCAGACCAAGACTCAAGTGTTCAATAGACAAGGCCCTTGCCACCAGTTCTCATATTTCCACAACAATGAACAAACACAAAAACAGCACTAAGCGGCCTTTCCTCCTTTTCAGCTCCCCTTGGCCAGTTGTCTGCCTTGTACTAGAGAGAACCCTTGAACACAACCCTGCTGGGAACACAACACAGGAGAAAGGATTAGCCTTACTAACATGCTAGCATTTGCAAAAGTGAAGAAAAAAACCCCACTACTGTATTTGGTATATGAATAACCAAAATGTATGCGCTGACAAGAGACCAGGACGGGCCTATGGCTCCCCGGGAGAAAATGTAGCTGTGATGAGTGACAGGGCTTTCAGGAAATATGTTCACAATCACAGACAGTGAAGGCCATGACCTAGATCGTTTAAGAGCTTGTCTTGTCAAATTATCAAAAGCTTCTTCCTCTCTGAATAAAGAGTGACATAAGTGAGTGTCAGAAAGCTGCAGGCTGACAAGCCAAGCATACAATAACAGAATGCACGTCACATACTTGCCGAACACCACCACGGCTAGCGGCAAATCTTAATGAGAGCGCGGCTGGCCCAAGAGACTTGGGTCCCTGCTGGCACAGCTACTCATCTCACAAAAATCCTTCAGCTCCAAGTCAGTTATGGTCTGACACGACGACTACAATTACTAAACACAACTTTTTAACAGAATCCTCTGGTGCTTTGTCAAAGCGGCGGCTGTTAGGAGCTGCCCCAATGCTAGTCACCACACCGAAACAAAAGATTTAATAAAACGAACACTTTTCATTACCTTTGTATAAAAACAACCACAAAAAGAATAAAATGCTTTACTTTAAAAACATTCTTACACAACGAGATGTAAAGACCCTTTCCTCATAATAAGCCTCACATGATCACACTCTCCTGCCACCTCACACAGAATTAAGGTGTTTAACCACAGGGATTAAAAAGACTCTTTATAATGTTTACTTATGCTTACGATTAGATAGAAATTGACTCAGGAGCAAGCACGAAAAAACCAGAATGCCACTGAGGGAATGAGATCACATGGAAAAATGGGCAAAATCATTGCTTTCTTATAAGAGACTCAACAAAAAGGAAAATAAAAAGAAGAATGAGAGTATACAATGTAACTGAAGGAAAAACATCCAATCACCGCACCCATAGCAGAACCCTCACAGACTTTTCACCACTTCAGCTTCAGTATGTGTAGAGTCACATGCAATCCCTCTGATGCTGGCATATCATTAACGGTAAGCACTTGACAGTATACATTTTGAAAATGACAAAGGCCAAAAAAATCTTCCGGGAGAAGTCACTCTAAAGGTGGTTTAAACTGTCAGAAAAGATGTCAAGATAAATGAGGAAGTTGCCTACCGAGATATGCTTCCGGTTTTTGTGAAGATACAGTAGCTAACAAGACTATGCTAGCGGTGTGCAGACATGCAAACATATCTTTACACAAACAGTGCCAGTAGATAAGGCATGGTTAAAGAACTGGTTAGAGACCAGGAGCCCATCACCTTCTAACTGAAAGGATAATATGGTCAGGTAACCCGCAGAATTTCAGTACGCTAGCTTCCCCTCATTCTAAAGGAAAATCTTGCTCTGTCTACCATTTTTGCCTCCGGCTCCAAACTGTCCTATTTACGAAGTTTTTCTTCTACTCTCACAGCAGTGGAGGTTCACAAGAGCTCTGGTGTTCAGCCCTGGTAAGGATTATTTCTGTGGATATCTTCAGAACAATGGCATTGTCCAGCTTTGGATACTAACTCCATAAATATTCCAAAGTATTATCCTATTCATTCCATCTGAAACAGACAATATATAATAATACATAAACTGGGACTCAATAAAGGAATGTGTTCTTCCTAAACAAATTTAAAAGGTTTAGCTTAATGTGGAAGGCTCTACAAGAAAAATTCATAGACAATTAAGAGCAACACTCTTGGGAAAGAAGCTAATCACTCCTGGAAAACCAGAGGAAGACTTAATGAGAGAGAACTAACTGGATGTGTTGAGCATCATGCCTCATGACACCTACCTGAACAGTGAACGAATCTGCAAAGAAAGAATGTTCACAGTATGGGATTTTTAGCACATATATATGTAAATATATATGCACACACCTATATATTCAGGTATACATATGCACACACATATATACATACATATATTGAAGACTGGGCAGTGATGTTGCACACTGGTGATGTGCTCTTTCCTAGGGTGGGCAGTATATAGCCAGAGAGCTGTACCTGAGACTTTGAACAACTCTGCTACATACCTCTTTTATGTTCTACTAGATGACATCACACTCTATATAGTTGGTTCCAGTATGACTTAGAAATCTACGATAACTCCATGAGTTCTCAGGGTTCTTTTAGGGAAACTGACAGACCTAATGGATAACAAATTTATTACCCTGAAAATGTTTTAAACCAGTTATCAATGTCAGTTAAATCAACTTGCTCTATGAAGGCTACACCAGAGTTTTCAGAGCACCCTGGTGAACTCCTCCCTTGGGGAAATTTAACATCAGGCTCAGAGCAAAAGCTATGGTTTGCCTTCAGTTCATAGGGACAGCAGAAACATTGCAAAGGGAAGACTGATATGGAACAGTCATAATTATCAGGCTTGGTAAAACACTTTCATATTTTTGATAAAATGCCCTGTAGAGGACTCATAATTCTCTACCAACTGTAATTAACAGAGGCACAGATATGTAGGTCTGTTATTATGAACAGTTAACATAGGATGAAAACTATAATTACTATACTAGGTCAGAACACGTTGCCATGGTCTCTAACTGTGGCCATAAGCCAATGCCTCATGAAGTTTAAGAACAGGCCAGGCACGGCACACTTTGCCTAGTTCTCGTCTACATTCAGCTGTTATCAGCTCAATGACTTTCCAAACTCAGTTGCAGTTTCAATGTATTCAATAAGCTTCAGTGAATTTCTCTTTCAGGAACTGGTCCACTCTCCCCTAGAACCTGGGTAGACTTTCAGCATCTATGACGTCTCTTGATATGAAGCTTCACAGGTCTGCTGCCTAGTGCATGAAGAATCACCTCCTCCTGTCTGTTCTGAACGTAGCTCCTATGGCCGTTGTCACATGCACCCAAATCTGTTTATGGGAAGAAATGCTGAAAATTGATCTTTAACCACTGTCTCCAGCCTGCTTATAGATGATAGAGTAGATCATCCCAAATGTCATCTCTCTTCTAGGCTGAATAGGTCTAACTAACTCAATCATTTCTTATGCTGAAGGATGCAGAAGACAGGGACTCTATTGCTGTCCTGATAATTCCTCACTTGACCTTTTTTCTTCCTAACTTCTGAATGTTGAACTGATATTTTTATGGAACCATCTCTCATAACTCTAAAATTTCAGTCTTGGAGGGTAACAGTTAGCTCACAGCCCATCATTTCACATGCACAAGTGGGAATATTTTCCCCACGCATAGCATTTTACATTTATTGACAATAAAATTTACCTGCCATTTTATTGCACTTTCCCTCCATCTATTACAGCCCTTGTGCAATTCTTCACAGTTGGCTCTCATCTTTGCTACTCTAGACAATTCAGTCTTCTCAGCAAATCTTGTCACCCTATTGCTCACCTTCATCCATGTAACACTTGAATATACTGAACACCGAGATCCAGAATGCCATTGCAAGCAAGGACTTTCTCTTCACTTTTTTCCTTTTAACTGAACATTTATCCATCCAAACCTTGTGGCTTTATCCTCTTATTCCATGTCTGTTTAGTTTTCTTAACAGCTTTACGTCAGAAACTTTGTTAAATGCCTTTTGGAAACCGTAGATTACGTCAGCTGGATCATGTTTACACATATGCTTCTTGAGAGATCTGAGAAGTGGGCTTTCACAAAAGCCATCTTGGATCCTCCCAAGTATATCACATTTTACATCCGTTCCACCATTTTATTTGCTATTACTGTTCCTATTGATTTTCTTAGTATAGACATCAGGCTGCAAGACCTGATTACCCAAATCTCCCTGGAACCCATTTAAAAATTTTTACTCCGTTTGCCTCTCATTTACTAATCAGATATAAAGGAACACGTCACATACTACCTTCAGTAATCCGGTTATTTTACCTTTCAGTTATACTTTTGTATAACTATTATCTAGTCCTTTTAAACTGGTTAGTGTTCATTTTGTCTTTTTAATTTCAGAGAGATTCTCTGATGACTCCCTCCACATAGCAAGATTTCCAAGTAAGGTTTCAGCACAGGAGTGTCCCCAGCTTCTTCCAAAACGACCACCAGATGCAAAAAAAAACTGAAACCAAAACCAAAACTAAAACCCAAACAACCCTTTATCTGAATGACTTTTAAAAACATTTCTTAGAATACTCGAACAATGTTAGTGCTTGCATGTATGTTTTCATGACAAAGCTATTTATTCATTTATTCAAGGACAACTTTGAACATGCAACACGTCCACTTCACAACCGCTGTTGCCATTGAAAAAAGAGAACATGTTCAGTAATTCCAGAAATATGTTTAATGCTATCCAAAAAAGTAAACAAAACAGCAACAGCAAAATGAACTTTTTTACAGGGCCTCTATCTCTCTACAGAATAAAATGGAAACCCTTCTACCACTTTGCTCTTCAACCTGAAACAAGCCATCACGTGTCTGATAGGAAAAAAACTGAACATTCTGTTTTTCACAAGTATCTCACACATATATAAAGAAAGCACTTCCATGTTTCCATTTGACAGAACCATTTATATACCGTGAATACAGATGCAAGCTTGCTAACACTTAGCAAATTTTGTTTTGTTAGGGAAGGTATGGAGAATAGTATTTGCACTAAGTACTTTTCACTCTCCAATGCTTTGACATAGTGGGGAAGCAGAGTGACTGGCAATAGGGCCAGTGTCCACCCCAATCTGCATGAGCTACATTGATCTTCTCAGTAGAAACAACCTGGTTTTGAATGATAGTACTGAAGATAGAAAATACCATTTCGGTTGTCATGGGATTAAGAGAAACACCAGTAGGTTCCCGACATTAAACATGTCTACATATATTATTCTGTTATTGGTACAGTATACAATTCTGCAACTGCTCCACTATTTTAAAAAATTCTCTCACTTACATATGTAACACATGTAAGAGTATACATGTGATGGGCCTGTCCATGGGGGCATGGAGGTAGACAACTATTTTCATCGTTATCTTTTTTCTTGCATGTTTATAAATAATAGAGAACTCTACCAAAAAGAAGGCAGAAACTAAGCTATGGCATATAAATATGATTATAAACCTGCTTCCTTATAAAATTTTCATTCAGCTATACTGGCATTAGAAATAAACAGTACCATTTCCATTCCTGTCATAAAGTATACTTGCAATGTAAAATTCAAAACAGTTATAAACGCTTCCCAAATCTATTTAGATATTAGCTTAAACTTCTAATAGCATTTTCATAATGGTTCATGAATATGTAATCACAGTGAAAAAGCTCACTGATCTGGGATTGCTGGAGCATCAGAGCTATTCTTTACCTCTTGCTTGGCATGCTGGAAGCATACCATGTCTCCTAAATTTAATCTACCACCACCTCTGGTTCAACAGAAATGAGGAAAATTCTCTAGTGTGCCTGTTGCTATTATTTTTAATGGTTCTTCACACACACACACACACACACACAGAAGGCTAAAGTGTTATATCTAAATATCACGTTTATTAAATATTTTTTCTGCATTTTTTCTCTATTTTTAAACCAATACATTGAAACTATCCAAACTGCATTTGTTAGGCTTTTAAATCTTTCTATTAAAGGTGATGAGTAAGACTGCAAAGGTTTAAAAATGTTTTTATCAAGTATGATGGCTAAGACATGGATAGTCATGGATCATTTTTAACTACCAAAATTAACCTGGACAAAACTAAACTCATGACTGGACATTTACAAACACACAGTTTCTTTCCTTTGGACTACTATCTACAAAAACTGTCATGCTATTATGTAAGTACTAGCTATAACATTTTATAGGTATATACATACATGTTTATACATATATTCACTATATAAATTAATATAAAATATCAAAAGATTTTGGTTGTTGTAGCTTCAAGTTTTGACAGATACAGAAATAACAGTGAATGAGTTCTTTGCTACAGACGGTACTCACATCCGCATAATGCCCTTTCATATCGCAGCGGTTACAGTGTTTATTCCAATAGGCTCTCTCAAGACACTCCTTAGAATAGTGTCCTGGCAAGCAGCAGTTCAAACAAAACCGTGCTGGGCAAGTGTTTTGTAGATGACCTCTTTCTGCACACAAACAACAAGGGGGAATCTTCTGTGGAGAAACACAAAAAGAAGTATGATAAGTGAGTATATATATAAGAAAAAAACATCAAAGGATGAAATAAAGAAGAAACCACCACAAATAAATGTCTGCTTCTCACTATGAACTGCATAGGTATTATGTTTCATGAAGAAGTTGTAGTGAAGGAAGACTAAACAGAGTAAAACTTGATGTTCTAACTGTACAGATTCCCTGTGCTTCTTGGATTCTGACCTTGTGTTGGAAGCACTAAAAATGTTGCATGCACTTGTATTACTTGCTCAGTGAATACAGCAAAAAGTAACATTAAATTAGATGGTATATTTTACACAAGAGTAGAAATGTTGGACACTGTTTTTGATGACATTTCTTGAAAGCTTAAAAATACAACCATATCATAGCAACAAGCTGTATAGTACGTAATACAGTGTATCGGGATGATCTGTAAATATGGTCTATGCTATGGACCACTCAGCCACATGCCTTGTGGTTCACACCAATGAGCATAAGTGCCTCCTGCATGAAGCAATAGATGTAGAATGCTGAAAATTATTCTTGGGCCATAGCTGTATCTGTTAAGAGGCAATTTCCCCAGTGACTGAGTATGTCATCACTTTCAGGCCTTACATTTCAACAGGGTGGGTTGTAATCCCAGAGAAATTTTCTTTACAATGATATCCAAAGTGTCAGTGTGAGGAAGTGCCTCAGAAACTGAGATGTGGATTTTTGAAATCTTTGTTGTGGGGACTGGTAAATCCAGACTCTCATGCGACTGCTGTCATTTCCTCACAAGATAATGATGGGTTTTTAAACCTCTAACCTCTGGACAAACTTCCTAAATATCTGGCATTTATTAAGACTCCTTGAAGTTGATTTTAATTTCATCCTGCCTAGTGCTTTTAACATTATTTATATCCAGGTTTATTATACAGATAGTTTTCTTTCCATTCGTTTGCTAAGGGTGATTTTGGATTCCTTAGGCTCTCCTTGTGGAAAATAAATTCAAACAATTTTTCCATATTAAAATTGTTTTTTACAAGATAAAAAATATGTCCTTTCTTCATACTTATGTCTCTTTTTGCTCCATTTATAGTTACAGATTTTTTCCTGTATAAAAAGGACAAGAGCGATCACCTTCACAAGAGAGTTCATTTTATGAAGTAAACTGATCTTGTGCAAGACAACACATCCTTCAGCCTGGAGCAACCTTCCAATGAAATAATGAACTACTGAAGCAAAGGTTCTAATGGCAAACACAAAAGAGCTTTAGAAACAACAGCTACATCTGAAAGAAATTAAAACATTGCACTTACCTTTGGAATAGGACAGTTTTTGGACAAATGACCTGGTCTACTGCAATTTCTACAGGTAACGTTTTTATCGGCTGTGTAGTATCGGACACTTGAACGTCTCACAGTTGCATAGTTACAGATCTGGGCCTGAGGACATAAAATGCAGTTATCATTTTTGATTGTGTGGTTTAATGCTTGATAGAATTGGAAATTTGAATGGGTCACTGCTGATAGTGTTCAGTGACAAATCTAATCTTTTACAAGCACAATTTACGTATCCAGGTTTGAGTTGGATAATTCTGCTCTAGAGAAACTTATATTGACTAGAAGAAAATTACTGTCTTGTTCAAATTTCCACTTTGGGACATTCGTTTTTGCTCCTTAAAATTACAGCTATGAAGTTTTGCTTTCCCTTGATGGGTTCAGACACTTTCACTCACTATCCTATTTCATGATGAACTGAAATTTTCCCCGAATGCAAATATAACTAACACTAACTGCAAGTGCAAGTTACAAGTTCCCTGAATAAACCAAGGGAAACTTTTTGGACAAAATAAAATATTATATAAGTTTAGATCAAATCTGCAATTTGCAATTGTAGAGAAGGATTAAAAAACATAACGAAGAGAGAGAGAGAGAGCGAACAGAAGCTGAAAACCGCTCTCTTCCAATGACCTCACACACACTTTCTGAAGAGGTAGACAGAATCGAAAATCCTCTCTTGAAATTGTATCCCCTAGTAAATATCATAGCTTTTAAAAAAATGAAATAACATTCTGGATAAGTGAACAGGAGAGGAACACAAAAGCATTTCTCTTAAGCAAAAGAGATCATTAATGTAACCTGATTATGTAAGCTTTATTGGACCTCAGAAACAGAAATTAGAAGCAGATGGACAATCCAGTTGGGAAGTTTACTGTTCTTGGATACTCCAGTAACTTACACAAATAATGCAGGATACAGCCTAATTGTACCAACTACCAAGTTGAGCCCAACTTCTGGAACTGCAAGAAGGCTACTAACCACAGTAGATCACAGCTAGCAAAAGACAGATAAATTAGAGTAAATAGATGTTATCAAGTGTCAGGGTAATGCTCAGTAACTTAAAAAGCAAAAAACGTTTGGAATTCTTAGGAAAGAAATACAGAATACAAGAAACATTGTTATCCGTTATATAAATCCACGGCACTCCTCTGTTTTGAACGCTACATAAAGTTCCTTCCTCTTAAAAAGGATATAGCAGAACTAGAAAAGGAATAGAGAAGGATAGCTAGATGACCAAAGGTATGGAATAGCTTCCCAGATGAGGATCATATATGCAGAGCAGCAGTTTTCAGCCTAAAAAAACAGTTTTTTAAAACTGTCTGTCCTGATACAAGAACCAGAGGTTAAATCAAATGAAATTATAAGGTTAAAAAGCTCCAAATAAACAGAAGTCAGCTTTCTTACAAGATGTTCGTAAACTGTGGACTTCTTTGTCACAGGATGCATAGAACGCCAAGTACTTATGCAAATCTATGAAATTAAAAATACATCCAAAGCACAAAGATATCCCAACACTCTTGCAAGAAAACCCTGAACTGCAGATTACTGAAAACAGGAAAAGTATATTGGAAAACTACCACTGTATGATTCATTGGTCTTCTGCTCTTTCCTAGGCATCAGATACTAGCAATGATCAGGAGGACTCTAGGCTGCAATGATCTTGTGGTCTGATCCATTCTGTTTATTTTCATGTTCAGTCAGAACAAATGAACAGCAGGGATCCAGAAGACAGTATTTTGGCCTATCCTAAAAACAATTAATGTTAATACTGGACTGTATCTCTTCACTGTGGTGAATGAAATTAAGGTGCAAGACAAAATAGACCAATGGTATGTAGAAAAAAGAACCATCTGCTAGAAAAGTAAGTTTTGAAGCAGCCACTTCCAGGTTTGACAACCTTAGGAAAGTCATCCCAGCTAGCAATCAATTTTGCCAAAAAATCCTTTAGTGCTTTTATAATAAAGTGTAATATTTTAAAGAATAAGCCTACAAAAGCTAAAGAAAGGAGAATGGCTTTAAGCAATAACAGTAGGTATACGTTGTACACAGGCATTCCCATTAAGGAGGGATTATTCTTAAAAGTAGTATCTATTCTTTTGAAATATTAATTAACCACCAAATAAAGTAAAGATTGTCTAAATTATGACTGCCAGTCCCTATTCTTAGAGTCCTAGATTCCAGTAGCCCACTAGGTCAATAGCTATTGGTGTATCACAGACATTTTAAAAGAAATTAGAACAAAACCCTTTCTCCCTTTTTCTCCTCCTCCTGCTATTAATATCTGCATGAATGATTTCTATTTTTAGCTCATCTATTCTTTCTGCCCACTCCATATCTGATCTTGCAATCACGGCATCACAGTTGGCCGCTGTGAAAAATGTTCCTGCTATTAAAAAAAAGAAAATATGCCACTTTGGAAATAAGGAGAACTAACCGTTGTTTCAAAATTATTTTCCATGACTTAAGTTTTCTTCAAAGAAATAACAGAGAAGTGCAGAAATAATGTACAAAGATGTTTTCTACATCTATATTTCAGTGTTTTGTTATGTACAATCAATGAAATTAAAATAAAACACCATGGAATGATTTGGTTGACACAGTTACCTCCAAATCTTTATTACTGATGGACCAGTCCACATCAGCTTCTCCTGAAAAACAGAAATACAATGAATTTTATTAAAATTATATGGATATATTTATACAGTATATTCAACTACAATGATTATTAAAACTGATACTAGACTTTGAAAGTACCACAGGACAGAAACTAATTCTATTTTTGGTACAGGAAAGTTTATCAGCCTTCTGATTCACCTTAAAATCGACACATATTCAGGCAGATTTTGACACCACCCTCTTGCTGAACCCCATCCCCACCATCCCCAAAATAAGTTATAAATTCAGGTACGGATTGAATTTATTCAGAGGCAGGGACCCAAAAGCTTCTGATTCCAACAATGTGAATTATCTCTATGTTCGTACAGGAGGACCTGCAACTCAGTTCACAGTTTGCCTAACTGAATGGGAGCAAATGGAATAGCAAGTTAATACACAGCACAAAATACACCTTTCCTCCTTGTGAATTCACAATAATCTATGCTTTCACCACTGCTTTGTGATTCCTCCGTGCCAAAATGAGTTTATGATCGGCTACAGCGACTAAGATTACGCAAAATAACTCTATTTTCAAAACAGGGTTTGCTGGTGAGCAATAAGTAAGGACTTACACACTAAATTATCCACTGTCATACCACAACCTTCTCATATACAGATTTTTTACTGGTAGAAATAAAAGAAAAAAAAAGGAAAAAAAAAAAGACAATAAGCTGAAAGAATCCCTAGAATGGATGCTGCTACAACTGTTTGCAATTTTTTTATCTCAACGCTTTATTTCTCTTACCGGGCAAAGACAGTAGTACAACTACAGTACTCTTTTCATCATTAAATGATTGGATCAACAGGCGTGTTCACCCTACCTATACTCATACAGTAAGTATTACAACTGGTGCATAAATAAATTCTACGTGTTTAATGCAATGTGTCCCCCCCTCCCGTTCCCACAGTCCAAATCTGAAACATCTACATGTGTTACTAACACAAACCACAATATTAAGAATTACAAACACCGAGAAAAAACAGGAAAGAATTTATCCAACTGCTTTTGATCATACTATTCATTTCCAGTAAAAGGCAGATAACTACAAATTTAAATTAATGCCATCTATAATGTAATGTGTAACCCCTCTCCTACTGAAAAAGTCAATAAATTCAACTCAAGTGAATACAATATGCAATATCTAGATACAAGGTGCATCACTCAAACACACAATGGGAGCTTTCAAGCATAATACCTGTTTGCTGCTGTTCCTCATCCAAAATGTGGGGCTAATAATATATGCTCTGCTCGCAAGAACATTCTGTAAAAAATTTTTATTTGAAATACTCACTAATGCCATTGCAATAAGCATCACAGAGATGTTAAAAATAAGTTAATTGCAGAGTCTATTTGCAGAGTGCTTTTGAGTGATGGCTAGTACCTAAATCAAGAGATACATAGCACTGGGAAAGCAAAAACCCAGCGGAAGTTTCAAATGGATACTTCATCCAAGCATCCTACAAAATAACATGTGATTACTTTAATAAAAGATATTCTTATAAATGTACATCAGGAAACAGCTTCTTCAAGACTGCTGGATTTCCAACAGAGAGGGCAGAAGGGACAGAACTGTGCTAATTTTCTTTAGTGGAAGTTATTTGTGAATACCCCAAAATAAAACCTTTTGGTATCTATTCCTAAAAAAATAAAGAAATATACCTATTAGCCAAATTGAGTACCTTATTTATTACGTGGAAGCCTGTTAAGGAAATTCATTCATAAAGAAAAAAGTATTTGTAATTTAAAGCTGTAGCCTGGCGATCAATACTGTAAATGCCTTGTTTCACATAAAGGCATATTTAGAATGCCTTTAGAATGCCTAAAGGCATATTTACAGGCTACAGACCAAAATTACCACTGAAGTAACTTCTTTTAGTTGCTGGGCATGTACACACCTTTTTGAGGACAAACAAAGTTTGTCTTCTTTACTGTTAAAATCTCACCTTCACAAGGGAAAGCCATGATACAGTGATTCAAGAATTTCTACAGTTAGAAAAAAATGTTAGAAAACTAGAACTGCTCAGATCAGAGAATAAATACAAGAACTCTAACGCTGAATGAAATATTGCAGTACAATCTATCTTTATTAAATCTGTCCATTGACCTGAAAATTTGGTCCAAATTACCAGAGAATGAGTAAGGCTTTGGTTTTACTCACAAGAAATGCTGACTGAAATAGGTAGAAAGAGCAACAAAAATCTTGGTGTGGAGGAGACCATACAGAAAAATGAAATGTTTTTTCTCATTGACAAGAGTGTATTGTCTGGCACTCCACAAGCTGGCAATTTAGTTTGCTTAGTTTGATTAACTTGTTTAAAACACACTTCAAACCTTTTGGTGGCTGTGAGTTAACTCTGAGCTGGCTTTCTGGCACTGTACCTCCCACCGGTCATTCTCCTACTCCCTGCTTGCCTTTCAGTGGAAAAACCAACCAACATGTGGAAGACTTCTTTGCACTACGCTCTCCCTGCTTGGTAGCATCCAAGATTTTTGTTTTAATTTCTTAATATTCAGGTGCAGAGTGCCAATCAGACAGCCACTTAGGTGACAGGTTTGAGGCCACAGTTTCAAAATACTACTTCTTCTGAAGAGGGAACTTGGCTCGGCCTGCAGCCTACGTGCCTACCTGTCTCCAGAGCTAGCAATCCTTCCCACCTCCCTTCCCTCTCACTGTTAAGTTCCCAAAGAAATATCCTGTTTCCATCCCATACACCCTGATTAGCAGCCCAAGATTCCCTCCCAAGTCGAAAAAGGTAATTTTTAAAAGTCTATGTGGATTTCTCAGTTTCTTTTCTACTTTCTTGCCTCCCACACAAACAACCATGTTCTGTCTCTTTCTGAAGAGCTTCTGAGCTGATTTAGGTCAATCAGAGACGCTTGGCAGGCACAAGATGAAACAAGATGGTCGTGAGTATTTTGGCTGAACATGCCTGGGAGTCAGAATGAAATGAAGAGGAGCTGCTTGGCAGGAATCAGGAGGAGAACTGAGGTGACAGACCTAGTAGTTTACAACTCATGAACGGGTGATCCTTCTGACCTGCTGATGGTGGCAGCATCAGGAAGGAAGAAGAAAATTGTTGACCAGTTTGAAGAAGAGCCAGAGATGTGCAAGGTGGAAGAAACAGTCAAGGCAGCTGGAAAAGGCTAGCTGGAGAATACATGCCTACTCTTCTCGAGTACATGGAAAAGCCATTTTAGTTCACCGAAATGTTTTGGACAAAGCCCATGTGCTAATTACTGAAAGCTAATTTATCTAGCAAACATTGGTACAATGAAATTTGCTTATTGTGGTACCAAACCCGGATGGCAAAGTCAGTATACCGTTAACGTATTTTAGCCTTTTTTTTCCTAACTTTCTGCCTGTTACTATAAAAACACTATAATGAGGAAAACACATAAAATTCAAAATTTTTTTCTCATTAGAATTTTAAAATAAAATAATACTTAAAAAATTACTTTGATCTTTCAGTTAATTTTGATTTTTTAAGACTAACAATAAAATTTTAGGTTAAGGAGATAAACAATTTTGAAATAACAATTATTTATGTACAGAGTATGCAAACACTTATTTCTGTCCTTTGTGTAGGGTTTTCGTCTTCTTTCCTCAGCCACTATGACTCTTTGCGCTGAATTTTCATTGGTGGCTGTTCTCCATCACCAATCTACCAACAATCCCAACTTAGGTTTTCATAAGATTTTCAGGGCTGCTAATGATAAGGCCTTTCCCCTTAATAATACAGTTCCTTTGAGGTCAGATCTTTAAATTGCAACCATACCATATTGGAATTCATAAAGACTCTAGAAATATAGTTGCTACGTTTGGTCATTCTTGGCAACTGTTTCATTTCTTAAAAAGCAGATCTGTGAGCACAACAGCTAAGGAAAACAGATTTCCTTTGGATTTATTATGGGCAGTACCTAAGATGTTTCCAATAGTTAATGTGTTGCAATAGTAAGTGCCACCTGTGAGATGCCCCATATCGCATGAACTGACACTGCAGCCTGAGCATTTTAGGGTTATCTACTCTGTCATGCTGCCTATTTTCACAAAACACGTCACGCCATTTTTTGAAAGGGCATCTCTGCCATACCTAGCTGAAATGATCCAATGTGTTCAGAATATTCACTTGGAGGCAGGTGTGGATGGGAGGGAAGACATCGATCAAGTGGTTGTGTATCTCCAGAAAATCAGGCTATGAGTACTTCCTTTTCCCTCTTCACAGCATTTCAGTGTAACAGCAGTTCAAAAACTAGTCAGACAATCTCTGTCATGACTTTCCTCCATCTCTGTGGAGGCACTGCACCCTCACCTTGCAGCCAAAAAAGTTCCTTTTTTTAATGCAACCTGCTAGTTTTCACAGTACATTAATAAAACCCTCCCACAATGACTTCAATAAATTTGTGCTTTTATCCTTTCTCATCTTCACTTGTAAAGCGTACAAGCTCTCCTTTTTGAGTCTATATGAATTTCTTTATTTCAGCTAGAAAATTATGACTGACTTTGCCATATGAACTTGTATTTATACCTGGAAAAATGCTTTTGTCAAGTTGCAGAGCAGTGAAGAAGAGAAGGGAAAGAAGATGCTAGAAAAAAATGATGCATAGGATTCAATATATATAATAATATATGGCTTAGATGAAAGCTCTGCACAAAGATTTTCTTTCCTACAATATTACACTTCTGTTGTCCTGCATCCCTGTACAATGGTAGGTAAGTAACAGCACTGCTTTTATTTAAAGATGACTCCACTAAGATTCACGTATATTACTGCACAGCATGAAAATGTAAATTTTAGATCAGGGCTCATGGTGAACTCAGATTTAGAACAACTGTTCAATACGCATTCAAGTTTTCTTTTTTTCATTTCAGAAAGGAGTGTGGAGAGGAGAAGGGAGAAAGACTAGTACTCAAAACTTGAAATTGCCCAGAGAAACAACCCATTTTCACAGAACAAACAATGACTTAGGGCAAACAACAAACTTCAGAAAACT